GTCTGCCACGTGTTGCAGCGGTCAGTGTGCTGGGGCACCATAACTGGCAGATAAGTGACCTGTATTAAAGGAGTAATATTTGTTTAAAGAGCTGCTGATTGTTATTTGGGGGAAATCCTGAAGCAACACGAGAGGATTCAGCAGCCTAGAAGCGCCTCCACTGAGTGATTTTCCTCCTGGTTAGGCTCCAGTACAGTGTACACCCAGCGGGCTGTGTACAAAGTGGCGGGTGTTAAACAATATCCTGCTGTCTAGTGTCAGTTTTACTGTGTGTGCTGCTGTTGGGATGGAGCCAGACTTGCCAGTTTCATCGAGATCACTTTCCCTTTAAACAGATCACAAAAGGTGATTTCTACTCGCAGGCGTTTGGAGTGCAGCTCAGTGGAGGGCAGGGGGGGAATGAAGTGTGAACTATCAGTTCTTACAGCAACAGCTGGAGTATATCCTCCCTGGGTGAAATTACAGAGCCTCCTATAGAAAATGTTAAAAAGAAGGTTAGCGAGTGCCGCTGATCTGACAGCTACTAAAGTGTGGAAGTAATTTTATTAAAATGAGATGTCAGTGCAACATGAGTCCTCCGCTAATTACTGATTACTGGTGATTGTGATCTTTTCCTAATGGAAAAAGGCCCCTATTATAATCCAAATGATTGTACAGGATTAAGAACATCATCACCATGAGCTCCTTGAAAATGTTTGGCTAATTGCAGCGTATTGTTTTCTGTTTTTATCATGAAACACATGAAGTGGTTTTACTTTTTATCTTCAAAGCAAATGAGTACAGATTATATCCGAGATAAGCATCTGTGTGTGAGAGGTGTGTTAAAAAGTGTCAAGTAGCAGATAATCAGGATATTAGACACAGGATCTAACAGGTCTTTTTAAGCTTATAACCATGAAACAAGGTGAGAATGAGGTAGGACTTTGTCTTTTTAGCTCCTTTTGTTAAAACTGCCTGAATCTACATGTAAACACAAAAAGACTTGTGGCCTATGTCGAGCAGCAGGCTTGAGGCTCAGTGCATGCAAGTGTAATGGGGTTTAGAGGGAAAGCCGGCAGGGGGTCTACAGGCCTCCTTGGTGCTTTGTAGAGGCTGTAACAGACAGTGAGGAACATGGGTGTTGACAGGGGCCCGAGTGAGAGCTGTAATTCGCTGTACATCTCCATTTGTACTCAGTGTTTTGGAGCTGCCTGCTCATATGTTATAGGTGGACGCTTAAATTGCTCACTTTTTTCACTGGTAACATTTTTAAATAAACCATTTAATCACACAGTCGGTTATAAATAAAAGTGCATCTCACATGTTCAGGACTGTCTGTATGTCAGCAACTAGATGTGCACGTAGAGGTAAATCATTCATGGGTTAATGCAGTATTAGTTACTATCTTGTGTGTTTTAAGTGCTGAAAGAAACAAAAGCAGCTTTTTCAAGAATACTCTGTCTTCAAGACCTTGTGTTTTTACACATCAGGCATGAGACTGTCTGATTCGCCCTCTGCAGTCTGACCCTAGGGTGTGCTGCTGCTGTAAAACATTCATTGTTGTAAAACAAGTCATTTCTGGTTTAGCTGGGTTATCAAGCAAATATTTATTTGCTAAAATTGATGATCAACTTAAAAAAAAGGATAAAAATAACTTTCTCAACAATACACAAAGAGGCTAAATAAAAAATAACCTAAATTTGGCATCAAGAAAGTTGCCAAAATATGCAACTAAAATAGGACAAAGACGTGACTGAACTAAATTTTGCAAAAATAACTAAATGAAAAATAAACCTGATTAGCACTTACATGTTATCTATATGGTCCTTGCTGTATAACGGCAAGTTGGTTCTATTTATCAAACACCAGCATCTCCTTGAGAGGGAAACAGATTGCGTGCTGGCCTGCTACAGACTTCATCAGGTCATGTGAATTGATGATACATGTTGCAAGGCGGCTGAGTTCCCCCAGAAACCTCTGTTGGAGCGCGTGCTGGCAGAGACGGGGGCCTCAGCCAAGTCTGTCTGACTGATCACTACAGATGCTCCTCTTCAAGTATTCCGAGTCAGATCCTTAGTGCTGGGTCTTGAGGGACAAACAATAGCACCTGTTCCTCATAAGATAGCCCATTCATGTATCTTTAATGAAGCCTGGGGGCAGATGGTGTGAAATGACATTATCCAGTACTTAGCAGTGCTAAGACAAAGGAAGAGCAGTGCCAGCACAACAATGGCGCTGTATTTACGAGGAGACGGGAGGACGCTGCCCAAGTGCCCCGCTCACATCTGCTCCACTTTATTCTCTGACTCCTCAAGATCATCTTGGCAATAGAAATATCCTGGGCACGCAGCCCACACATAGATGAACTTGAGCAAAAGTGGAAGGCACACTCTGTATGCACTTTTTCTGTCTCTGCTTTTTTGAAATAAACGTAATAATTGTCTTTAATTTACCTCAACAGTCAAATTTCTAACAACACTTTTCTGAAATGTAATAATCTGCTCAGCTGATAATTGACAGCTCAACCATCCTCCACTATTTGTTGCCACCTTGAAGCTCCTCAAAATTTCCCTCACCTTTCTCTGACATTACTCGCCGTAAATTAAACTTTAATGCACGGAGCTCATTACCGCAAATCACAGCAATTCAAACCCAATGCATTTATTTCCCCTTCAACACACATTTACACTCCGTCTTGCCTCAATGAATCTTGTATATTCTGCTCCATATATTAAAATAATAATAGTAATAAAAGCTGATGTCGCTGATAAAATGATATCGTTTTAAATATGTCCAATTACTGATGCCTTTTTGCTGACGTCCATGTATTGTCTTTAATATGTATGCTATATAGTATAATTCTGTTATTCTAATTCTAATTTAGTCACATTTGTATTTAAAGATAATTAAAAAGAATTAAATTATGGAGCTGTCTGAATGATCTTTATATTGTTTCCTCATGTGATGCCGCTTTCTACTGGCTGTTTTTCTAATGTAATTTAAAAAAGTATGATTATGTTTAAGAGCATCCATCACATTAGAGCAATGCACTTTAAGGTTGCATTCACATTAGACCTGCTCAGATGTTTTAACTTAGGAGAGTGTTTGGAGTCTTCTTTATTTCTGAGCAAAGGAAATGTGGACAGACTGCTGTGAATGATTTACTAATTCATTTAAAAGACAAGAATGATCATTTCTGGAGACAGAATGTGTCGTGGTTTTGTTTTCTCTGCTAAAATATTTGACAGTCGATAACTTCCTTTGGAAAAAAAAAAAAGACATAACATTTAATTTACTGCTGACGCGTGTTCGTTAATTCATGAACATGTCTGAACAACCATGCAGAACATTTGTAACACACATGCAGGGATGTGGACTTGAGGGAGCCCTTCTCTGTCCCGTGACTGCCACACGTTCAGAAACAGACTCCATCTGGTTTTACAGTCCAAATACACAGACAGAGAGAAGCTGTGTTCCCCAGTGTCCCCCCCGCCTGTCACTGGCCCTGCCTCATGTTGTGACATTAATTATTGTGTTTTTCCATATGTTCCATACATGCAAGGCCAAGATCCATCTTTCATCCATTCAGCCTGGAAACTTGGAACACAAATCCTTATAAAGCAATGTTTTATTTAAGGTCATTTGTCGCAGTCTCCTTGGACATTTATTTTTTCTGCAGTAAAAGCAAATTTTTTACAGAATTACTTCTAGAAGAATTACATACTTTTCTATTCTTCGTATAATGCACTTTCTGCACTTGCACTTCTGGAAAAGCTCAGTAGACATAAAATGTTTCTATTTATTTAGTTTTCAGTTGAGCTCTGCACCTCTGGACAGATCAATAAAGTAGTTTTAAGTAGGTTTAGCGTGCTAGCTGCAAGAGAAACTGCGTGTGACTACTCCGGTAAAGGGTCTACAGGGGGACTGGCGCAGGCTGAAAAAAGGAGATCATAGCAGACCTCAGCCAGAACATGGGGGGGGAGTCGCTGCTCAGAGCAGGTTGATTTCATGCCCCAATGCAGCGGCAGTAATTGCACCCAGACCCGTTTTATTGCAAGTTGATTTTAAGGGGGGATGAATGGAGAAACATTCTGTAAAGTGTTTATTTTGGGGGATGACCTTTATTAACCCATTTTCCAGGCAGGTTCCCCTGAGGTGGCCTGGCTCGGCACGAGATTAACTCTCGCAGGCCCGTGATAGTGGCGCTGCTCCCCATCATAGAGTTTCAGGAAGCCAAGAATGACAGTGAGATTGAAACTTGCAACATGTGTAGAAAAACCCCCACACACCACTTTTGAGACATAAGCTACTCACCCACCCTCGACACACACATGCAGGGAGTTTGTGTGGATATCTGCAGCAGGCCAGTCAGGAACAGGCTGGATGGTGAAGGTTAATATGTGAGTGGAGCAGACAGCCAGAGAATGACATTAAAATGAAATACAGCAAGTGGCAACGACTATTCAACTGCTTGCTATTTTTCCTCCGCTGAAAACAGACGTAGTAAATTACTGGATTGTCTTCAGGCTTTTATCATCTAAATAAATGATCACCCAGGATTGTGTGCGTAGTTGATCTTTCCTTGAGGTGAGTGTGTTAGTGTGTGTGTGCGTGTCTCTGTGCGTGTACATGCCGATCAGTCTTCGTCTCTGCACCTGTGTAATACATTCAACAATCCCCTTGCTGACATGTTGTATCTGCTGCAACAGAAGCCACACAGACCTGCCCAGCCTCTCCGCTCTCTGTCCTACACGTCGCTTCCTCTAACCGATCCTGGAACAATGTGTGTATGTGGGGCTCTTTGAAGTACCGAGGTAAAATTGTGGTTTGGATTAAGAGCAGGCGTAGCTCGGCAAGGTATTGTGTGAGCACACGAGGGCCGTCACTGCCGCAGAGCCCCCTGTCAGCACGCGTTAGGAAGAGCTGTGATCTGGCCTCCCCCCTGAGTGGGCTGTGTGTGTCTGTGAGCCATGCCTATGCTTAGGCCTCTCTCTGATCTCTGCTTCCTATCTGTTCAGCAGGTCCAGGGTCACATGCCTCCGCTCATGATCCCCATTTTTCCACACGACCAACGCACTCTGGCAGCAGCCGCCGCCGCCCAGCAAGGCTTTCTCTTCCCCCCGGGATTGTCTTACAAGCCAGGTATGCTTGCAACTAAAGTCCTCATTTTGTCCTTCTTCTCTCTCTGTTTGCTACATCTTCTATTAATTATGATGACTTTATACATTTGATAAATAATAACAAACAAATGCTTGATTCACATGTGAGGCCATTGACATGATCTGCCCTGTCTGAACTTGCACTTGGGACCAAATGCCTGGGAATGTTCTAGTCCAAGTGGAACAATAGATATGGGCCAAGAAGCAGAGGAATGTAAACAAGTCTTCAACATGAAATTATCTGTCAGTAGTTTGCTGGCTGTAATCTCTTAGTATCCACTGTTAGAGATCCAATAACACAGGGGATAAACCCTGCATGAAAAGTCCTCCTATTGTTAGTAACTCCCATTTTACAATTTCAAACAGTTATGCCTTTTGACAGAACAATTAAGTAATTAACAGACAATTGTGATTTGTAGAGGTTTTTGGATGAGATGAGGAACAGGTTTTCATTACTTGTACCAGCATGTCTCTTTCTCTTCCTTTGTTTTTCAAATTGAGCATAGACAAGATCCACAGCTTTAGAAATAAAAATTAGGTAAAAAGAAATGTTGTAACATGTTGACTGATGCCCTGCCAAAACAGTAACCTCATACACCCTCATATGATTGTGAAAGTTAAAGATGTGCTTCCATATACTACTGTAAAAAATTGTGTAAAGCAATTATAGAGTCTCTTCATATTGGATTTTATTCAAATTCAAAAAGAACTTCAAGGCATTTCCCTGTTTCCTCTGACACATGTAAATAAAAGGACACTGTTGTTGATCACTGTCAAAAAGAAAAGGATTTCTGAGTCAGACAGAAAAAGGAAAAGTCCACTCATCTGATCAAAACAGAACCAGAACAATGAAGAGGACAGGAAAAAAGAAAAGAAACACTGGGAAGTCAGCAGGTTTGCAGCAGAACATTAGAAAGGTGTGGTAGTGCAGTTAATGAATTAACTATAAAACCACAGGATGAAAAAGAAAGTCAGCTATTTTGGAACTATGGAGCCATGACAGCTTAAACAAAGTGCCTGAGGGCGAGTCTTTTACCAGTGTGCTTTCTGCAATAGATTTGACAAGGAAAATGTTTTAGTTCAAATAACATGAGCTATTATGGAATCATGGTGAGGGGTCGCCATGTGTATGGTTCCTGCATTATTCATGAGTTCATGAAGAAAAAAGCAAAGGGGGTCTGAAAATGACTCTTGCAGTCAGGAGAGGTATTTTCAAAACATCTATTATTTCCCCCGATCCAACACAATATACACAATATTTCTGGAGAGTACAATGTTATCACCACCACCTGCAGGGTATACAGGATGCTGCCGTGTCCTTTCTCCATGAAGTGAGTGGCCAAGCATTCACTTCCAAGACTAAGGCACACTAATCTGATGTTATCATTATGAGACAGCCTCCAGGGACCACTGCTTATGACCTCCAGTCCTGTGGTGCTCACGTTGGCAACAGAGTCATTCTAGCACCATAGTGGTAAGTCATCACCCAATCCACTGGCTGTGCTCAATGGCCTGGTCTTGCATGGTAGACAAGCACAGTTATAGAGGCACCGACTCATCTTTTAAACAAATAGATACAAGTCGGACTTCCTACTCTGTTCGCACTGTTTACACAGACATTCAGTCTGATGTGTCTCTAATGGACCCACAGATTGACCTCATAGCCTTTAGCTTCCTCTGCCAGTCTCCCTCATAAGCACCCTGCTGACAATTGAAAGTGTCTGCGTGCTATTTTTATCTTAAATCTCTGATTTTTTATCACTTTATATGTTACTTTCAAACGGATTCGATACCGTGGCGTTTTGAGCACATGGTTTACTTCTTAATGTGCAGTAGAGTCTGGCTCAGGATGCAATGTTTGTCCGAACCGGAGAAAATTAACGCGGCCCGACAGGCACTCTGTTTTTGTATATCTGCCCCTGACCCAAACCCAATGTTTTCTCTGATTACAAGCTCGTTCAGTGTGAGAAATCCAGTAGATAGGGCAGGTTGGGTATCCACCTCTAATATAGTGACTTAAATAAATTAACTTACACATCTAAATAATTCTACCTGTTCATTTGTGTCTTCTGTAAACATTCTTGGTAAATTAATGACACTTAAAAAGCACTGTAAAGACAAGTGTGATCTAGTCATATAATTGTTCATCATCATTTGGTCTGGCCTAAGAAAGGTTTCAGTTTCATTAGTCAACCTATTTTATAGCATAGTATGAGCAGGGAAATATAGCCTGTTGTGACCATGGTGTCACCTGAACTATCCCCCTCCTCCTTTAACATTGAGAGTCCAGGCTCCGGGCATGGGACTAGCCATGTCAAGTAAAGAAAAACAAAGTAAAACACAGTTTTAAGCATAATTCTCTTTCACCACTGACGTTAAACTGGCACAGTTCCCATTCTGCTGGAGCCTCAACACAGACTGTGCATCCAAGACCTTGGAGCCTGAGACCCCCAAGCTGTGGAGGGGCTCTCACTTAGCACATGACCCACCCTCAGGTTTCACATGACATCTGAAGACATCCAGCCATTTATTATTCCCAAATCCGACGTCACAGACAGCACGGAGCGAGAGAAAGAAAGAAAGCGATACCAAAATAAGAGGAGGTGTAGAAATAACCACAGTGCACAGCCACACATCCAACCCAGCACTATTTGAAACCACTTCTGCTGTGTGATTTTATTTGCTACTAAATGGGGATTGAATTTCCATGGCCTGTATCACATTGTGCTGTGCTGTACAAGATTGCAAAGTGAGGCGAGCAGGCGAGGGCAAAGTGAAAGAGAAGGTATATACATTTACCTTGTCTGTGGCTTAATGGGTCCATATGTTTGTGAGGAGAAGTGACAGGCAGAAGTGGGGTCTGAGCGAAGGCCAACTACCCCTCCCCGCTCCCACTGTGTTCCCCCACCTCCCCCTCCTCCAGACACATGAACACTGTGCTGCCCCGTCTCACTGGGGCTGTTCTGTCTGTCTCAACACACCAGGCTGATGTATAAAAGCATCTGTACCCCCGTGGATATCACTCATACTGCAGCCGTTTTTATATCGCTGTCTGACAAACGTGCTGATGGCAGGCGAACATGGTGAGTAGTAATGAATAGTGCTGCTATTTGGAGACCAATTCTTCCTCGCTTGATCACAGTGACATGTGAGATAAGAATGTGTGGGTCTTTTTTTTTTGCTCGTGTTATTGTGACTGCACACTTGTTCTAACCAGTTCACACACAAGTGTTTTCACTCTGCTGCCAAAGCTATCACTCAGACCCAAACAATGTAGTGCTGAACAATGGCCAGACAAGTCTACAGCTGTATGAGCTGCCTGATAGAACATGCTGGTCCTTTTACATAATCGCTAATTGAGTACCAGGGAGATATTTAACATTTATTCTGAACACGCATGAACACACGCACACAAACATCTTAAAAGAACTCCTTACTTGTTAAAATATTTAGGAGCTATTGCTGTCATGGTATTTTCCAGGAGTAGTGTGCAGGTGGAGAAGGGAGAGAATGGTGTGGAACGTTCCTTAGTAATCCTGCTCCAGTCAAACCAGATTAGCCTTTTGTTAATGCAGATGTTTGGGCTTGAAGCCGAGGGCTCGCTGCAATGTGCCACATCGCTGTGGCAAAGTAGCGGAGGGCCCAGGATCTGTGTTGGCACTTGCCTGGCTGCAGTGGGCTGGCTCATTGTCTGAACCTGTACGCATTGTTGTCTATCTCTCCTCTCTGACAGGTGATAACTACCCGGTGCAGTTCATTCCATCCACAATGGCAGCTGCAGCAGCGTCAGGACTCAGCCCCCTCCAGCTTCAGGTATGTACAGTACGATGACAAAGAATGCTAGGGACGCCCGCCAAGCCCAGGGCAGAAAGAACGGCTAAGCAGCTGTACGCCAAGTAATGAGCTGCACACTAAATAATCCTGGAGGCCCCCAGCTCACACGTGCTTATCATCTTACATATGTAATTTATCCCGTTTTATAGAGGATTTATCCCCACTAGCACTGCCCAGCAGAGGAGGAAGGGAGATAATGGTTATTAGAGGGAATGAGAATCACTTTGGTTGTCTTAATCGCCTGCCGGTGAATATATCAGAAGACAATTGACTAAGCAAGCAAAAAATCTCCTTCTTAACTGCTTAACTGAAGCATTTCTTTTATCACTGTGAGGATAACAAATGAGAAGAAACAATAGATGTTTGCAGTGAAAGCAGACTCCTGGTATGTTACACAAAGTGAAGCTGAGGAAGGCTTTTGAGCAACAGAAATGTTGGGACAGGCTCCAAGCCCTACAGGCTTTTCTAACAGCATTTAAAAGAGCTGAACTCAGGTCAGAGCTTAACCTGAAGACATCATGTTTAATGTAGATAATTATCTGCGTTGCATGGTTCATTACTATTTGAAATACTATTGGTACCACAGCTCTCTCAGCTGTGCCTGATCTTGTTGATAATGATTCTTTCAACTATTTACTGACTGTATGCCATGAACATACACAGACACATAAGCAGCAATAGGAGTTAAAGAGTTATTTTCAATTTATCGGACAGATTTCCAGTGGATAAAAAGTCATTAGAATAGAATATAAGACTGACGCTGCATAAGTGAATATATTTCCAGAGTTTATATGTGTAACTTAGTTTGTGTATCATAACAAAGTCCATTGGGAAGGAGTGGTTGTTCAGATGCTGAGTGTATTTATAGTGCTGGATGAGGTCACATGAGACATATATCTGAAGGTTGGGGTGAGAAGGGGAGACAGGTCTAGAGTCATTAATTCTGATTATGTATCTAACCCTGGGAATGGGCAAAAACAGTGCCTCCAAGACCATGACTTGGCCGACCTTTAGAAAACACAGTAAACAAAAAAGAGGTGCATTTTCCATTAATTGAAGTCTGTCAGCCTGTCACATATTCTGCCTGCTGGCTGCTATTTACCCTGCATAGAGACTCCCCTTAAAACAGCAAGGCAAGTCAAACATGCCCTTTTCTACATAGCTGGGATCAACAAACCGTGCGACTGCCACCACTTCCTCTACAAAGCACAGAGAGACTGCCGTGATTAAAAACATCATATCAGCCCAGACAGAATTAAGTTACAGTTGTATCCTGCCTTTTAAAGCTATAACAGCAGCAGCACTCTTTGTCCTATTCAAAATTAAAGTTTTGCAGTGTACTTCAGTGTGGGTGCGAGTTTGAGTGAGTGGACTCGTGAAAAGAATCTCCTCAACAATGTAAAAATCACAGCGTGATAAGAAAAGGGGTTATTTGATTTGAGGTGAAACTAAGTAAAGGGACACTTCATCTGATAAGTAGTGCAGTGAAGTAAGTATGGCTGCCCTCGACAGCAGTGAAAGACATTTACAGTTTTCTATTCAAACTACACTGGTTAGTTTCTTTGGTTTAATTTCAATAACTAAAAAATATATATATATGGTGCAAAATAAGCTGTCCCTGCCAATATTCACCAACCATATCATATTATTCATTGCATCAACAAGCACACAATTGCTTTAACTGTGCTAAACTTTTCTATTTCTACCTCCTCCCATTCTTCATCTTCTTCACATAACACATACAGAGAGATACAAAATCACATGCACATACCCCCCCATTAAAATATCTCATCCTGTCAGCTGCATTGAAAGGTATAATTTCCACCAATAGATTGTGCAATATATGAACCTTAAAAATGATCTTATTGGAAGAATTAATTCCCACAATGCTGCAGAGGTAATGTGATCAGCCATCCAGTCAGAGAGGCCAGCCGCTCCGTCAGTCTTAATGTTGGCTGTGCAGCCTCTTCACAATCTCCTCTGTCATAACAGTCTGGTATCCCCCCCCATCCCCTGCCCTTAAGGAGAAGAAAACCCAACAAGGTAACAAAGGCTTAAAGCTGATGGATGTAAATGAATCTTCTAGGGAGCGTTTGAGTGTAGGAGACTGTAATTTGCTTGTCAATACAGGATGGTAGCATCACTCTGGCGGCTGGCAGACTGCAAGTGGCTGTCACCAGGCGTTGCTGTACCACAGGGCAATTTCACTCAATGTTTTCCTGACAGATTGGCTCTCGTTCTCAACTCACAGGAGAGGAAGGCGGGTAAACTATCCCTGCGCGACATGCCCCTCTTCATTAGTGCCCACACAGAGCCAGGATGAGCCCAGGACCAGCAGGAAACAATGGCTCCATCCCCGCCTGTCCTTCTCTGATTACAACTGACACCTCTCATCTAACAGAGGAAATTGTGCTCAGATTGTATCCCAATTTGTCTGGACACCTACTATATTCAATTGAGTGGAGGGACAAGGATGGGATTTCCCTAATTCCACAAAAGAATTTTCTATTTATTTAAGAGCACTTAACTTGCTGTTTGTACACTATACATTGCATCAGTCGCCAAGTGAAAAACAATCTACCTAATGCCAACATCAACTTGATATATATCACCTATCGCCTTTTTACATAACTCTTGAGAGGGTCCTGCTTTTCAATTGAAAGCAGGACTTAGAAAGCATTATTAGATAAAACAGAACATCTGGGTTCTCTGTATGCAGGATCATGCACTAGATAAAAAGAAATTCTCTGCTTTCACTCAGTCAAAGCTTCATTTTCTATCTCTTGCTGTTTCTGTCTTAATTTTCTAGTTTTTCCACCTTGAACCTTCTCTACATGTCCTAGTTTGTATTTCTCTCTCTCTGCTTTTCTTTCCTCATTCCATCCATGCATTTCGCTCGCTCTTTTTAACCCCAAGTGTCCCAAGTCCATCGCATCCTCAAGCCGCTCGAGTTCAGGCCTAACGTGTAATGCGGTTATCTTCTGCCACATTTGCTATAGCCTCTCAAGGCCCGCTATGAGCCTTGGCCTAGCCTCAGCTCTTGCTCCCTTTGTATAGATGAAAAGCAGCCCACACGCTCAGCAACAACTTGGACCAGATCTCAAGCAGACATACATATCTGAAGGAGTTCTCAGAGACATAAACAACTGGAGTGATAAGAAAAGAGTGTTGTCAGGGACAAACAGGAAGAAAGTGGGAGATATATATTATCTTTTGTTTGGATGTAAAGGTCTGTGTAGTATAGATGAGAAGAGATGGCTTCTAATTAACAAGTGCAACACTTTGACTTTGAAAGAGAAAGAGAGAGAAAGAGAAAGAGGAGGAGGAGGGGAGGAAAGAGAGAACGGACATACTGTAGCGAGCAGCTGTTTCTGTGTTTATGAGCAGAGGCGCTTGGTCTTTGAAGGTAACCCAGAGCAGTGCAGCAATGCTAGCTGTGTGTGGAAGGCTGGCTAATAGGACGGCTAGGTGAGCAGCTGGATGGAGGCAGTGGTGAACAGAGGGACAGATGGACAGATAGAGTGGATAATGCAGTGAGCAACACTGAATGAGAAGGCTGGCGCTGGGGCCCCTGGGCCTGGAGAAATCCACACACACACACACACTTGCACAAGACGGGCTGTGTTTGTGTGTGTGCCAGAGAGAAACTGATAGAGAATATGTATATACTGTAGATGTGAGATAGAGAGATAGAGAAAGGCAAGAGGAGGGAGGGGGGATAAGAGCAGAGCAGGTTGGGTGCCAGCAGATGAAACAGATGTTGGGCCATACTGGAAAGCATCGGCACAGTGCACCAGGACGCTTTCCTCCACTCCTGACATCTGGGCCTAGCCTGGGTCAGCCTGCCTGGTCGCCATGGGCAATGAGCCTGTACAAGCCTTGTGGCAAACGGCGCTGGCGCTGTGCTGCCTTTTAAATGGTGTGGTGCACTGAAGCACAGTTAATGCCCTCATATCCAGCCCAGTGCTCAGCACCCAGGCCAGACAGAGGTGAATGAGACATTGACAGACAGATGAACTGACGCAAAACAAAGAGATGAGTGTGCAATTAAGAGAGTGTCAGTTTGAAAATACTTAGCTCAACCCAGAGGAGGAATAATTGGTATTAGTAATTGTTTGGTTGTTAGAAAAATACTTTTTTGTCTTCATTTGTATATTTTTGCATGCTGCAGTTATAAAAGTTCAATGTGCTGTAATTGCTGGCAGTAACAAATGAGACAAATAGCTCAGAAACATTTAATTTATCTTTATTCTGTAAGGCATATACCCCAGTGTTTGCAGAAACAAAACAAAAATCATAGATGATAATTGTATGTTGTTCTTATAATTGATTATATTGTATATCAAGACATAACATCAGCTTTGTTGTTTTACAAAACAAAGAAAAGCTGCCCATCTTGAAAATATATTAGACCTGTGAGATGTCTAACATCATCAGCAGAGTGTGTCATATCAGTTTAATGTCGCAGGCAAAAACGTGAACCTCCCTGTTTAACCTCTGCTGCCTCCAGAGGGCATGTTTTTAATTACCAGAGGCTAACAGGCTGACCTTGGCTGTGCTGCTCACTTTAAATCCATGCTTGCCGAGATCTGCTCCACTCTACTGGGAAACAGGGAACGATGGGGTCAGAAGAAAAACCTTAGATTTTCTCATTTAAGTTTGGTATTTCTATATCAAAATAAGATGCTGTTTTCAGAAAAAAGACAAATCCTTGCAAAATCACTAAAGAAAAAAGTAAGACATGCTGTATTTCAATACTAGTTGTGAATACACACCGTGTAATAATAACAAATTGCACTAAGTTGCCTCTGCCTTCATGCTGCGAAAACACATAGACAGTTTTTTCAGATTTCTTTTAACACCCACATTGCAAACTCATTAGCTATAATTTTATTTTGCTGTTTTCTGCCATTATTCAAGCTGTGCCTGTGCCTTTTCATGAACTTTCATGAACACAACTATTGTATGTTTCCTCGAAGATGTTTCCCTTTGTTGCAAAAAGCAAAACAGTTTTAAGAGTGTATAAGAAAGGAAAGAGAAAATGGAAACAGGAGGGTTCAAAGCTCCGCTCAGGCTTTCACCTACTCCTCCAATACCCCAGAGTTGGAGCATTGACTTTCAGCTTGACCCTCATTACCATGAACCTTTTGCTGCCCCCACCTGGCAAGTAGATATGAAGAAGGGGCTGTTAGATGTGAGGGAGTCAACTGAGACCAGGAGGTAGCAAACAGATGTCTTCTGCTTAGGGACACCAGCCAAGGGAGGACTTATCATCCTTCAGCCTCTGACACCACAATGCCTGTTACCACTGACAACTCTCTGTTATGTTTTTATCTTCATGACATGATGGGAGTCAACCAATTTTATAATTTGCTATGAGCATATTGTCTTTGATGTGTACAAAGCCACACCATAAAGCTGGAGCAAAAACATCTCGACCCCACAGACTAAACTCTGACATATTTCATATTTGTCCTTGAGCAGTGTCTGGTGGTTTTAACGGACCTTTCATCCATCTTTCCCTCTGATTATATTTATTGTTCTTTAGCTCCTGGAGTCAGACTGTTCCTGGTTAACGATTGCTTCTCACCCCATGGCACTGACCTGCTAATCAGTGCTGAAAAGGGGGTATCCTGACTGCGTCTAATTTGAGGCAAACTCTAATTATGCTCTTTTTCCGGGACAATAAAGTTCTTCCCACTCAAGGTCAGGGGCATGCCCATGCAACAAGCCTGTTAGCAAACATCTGTCCAACAGACTCAGCTTCCACTGTTCTACTAAGACTGTGTAGCCTGGAATGACGGGCAGTGAATGGAGTATTCTCTCTCTCTCCTTCTCTGACATTAACCAAGTTGAGCTCAGATGAGGAGAAAATAAAGTTGGGTCCGCTCCTGTGTCCATTCCTGTCGTAGACAAAAGGCTGTTTGTGAAGGAGGTGGGGGCAGTGCTATCGTTGTGGGAACATAATCAGTCTGTCATTTCCGTTGCCCATGTGCTGTTGTTATCCCCAGGTCCCCTGAAAGAATGGACCTTTTGTACTGCCGCTTATATGGCAGTGATAAAGTTTCTTACAGGAGCACATGTGTGTTTATATCTGGAGATATGTGCATGGACATAAAGTGCTTTGTCTGGCATCTATACCACTGAAGGTGAGGCCACCGGGGCCGGGTAGCTTTTTTTTTCATCCACACAAATGCAGGCTGTATGTGGCTAGTCCAACCAGGAAATGAGAAAGGGTTGCTGATTGGCCAGAGGACGAGAAGTTAGATTATCCCTGACAGCACCGTCTGAGTGAATAGCACAACAATCCGTGGGGTTTACCTAGTCTGATGAAAGCAGGCCAGTGGGGGAGTTAAGGGGTGCTATGTCTCTTATGAAGTGAGGTCTAAAGCTACATTGAGTAACACTCTTTTCAGACACTTTTTATAACAGCCCTTATTTGACAGACCCCTTCCATTTACAGCAGGTGACAAAAAACTATTTCATCACTTACCTGGCCAATCAATGCAGACCTGAGGTGGAAAGAAGACTCAGCGAAGTGGGAGTGCTGGGCTCTGTGGCAAAGAAATAACAACCACAAAAATAATAATTAAATCAAATCAGTCTTGTTTTATTTGTTTCAAGATTTGATGAAGTTAAAAAAATACACACATAACTTAATGTGATGTAATTCATCCTTTATCCAGGAAAAAGGATGAATTACAGATCCAAAAGTAGTATGGAGCTCACCAGAGTTTTTAAAATACTTCAAAACCCTCATATTTAACCACTTTTTGTACTATATGCCACATTATCAGCCCAGAGTAAAAAAAATTTAATCAAGCTTTTAGAGCTCAACCCTGTTAAAGGCTTTGCTTATTGAGGGCTTAGCCAGTATTTAAAACACCCACTTGTGTGGTAATGTTACCAACAGTCGGACATCTCAGTGATTTAACGCCAAGGAAAATAATGGTGATTACATCACTGTTCTTTGTGCAGGTTCCTAAGCCTTAATAATGCTGGTGTTTAAAGTATTCTGTGATGGCCATCCAACTGAGGTTGGGTTTCTAACCGTGTGGAATAGGACTGTCTCACGTGGCAGCGTGGAGACAAATCACAGACTAGAAACTTCAATGGGAAGCTGTGTAGATCTAGAGAAATGAGAGATCTTTGCAAACACACTTGCATCCAGTCGGCAAACTTTTCTCTGTGATGAGTGGAAAATAGGGGCTCCAAGTATTTTGAATGAAAGCCATCTCTGTGTGGTTTTTAAGACTGCTGTCTCTCTCTGGGTTCAGTCTTTGAAATACAGTTAAGACCTTTGATGGAGGTTCTCTGCCAGCCTTATGGAAAGAGAGGAAAGACGTAGACGAAGAGAGAGGGGGGGGGATGAAGGGAGACACAGAAGCAAGAGTTCTAGGGAGAGGAAAAGACAGAATATGAAACTCTGAATGTTTGCTGGATTTGGATGTTAACGCCTTTGCGGGTTTCTGCACCTCCCTACAGCAACTGTATGCGGCCCAGCTTGCCAGCATGCAGGTCTCTCCTGGAGCCAAGATGCCTCCGCTCCCCCAGCCCCTCAATGCGAGTGGGCCCATTTCTCCCTCCTCTCTGAAGAATGACAAGAGTTCCTCCAGCCCCATCACTCAAGTCAAGGTAGAACCCTCAATTCCTTCAACCCGCCAGTCCAGTGCTTGAGTGGTACTTGACCTAGCCTATAGCCTAGTCGGTGCTGTAAGAATAAACTAGTGTCTACGCTGTTCGCTGCTTCACTCGGTGCTTGCAGCCGACCAGTGCTGAGCCCAACCTCTAACAGGCCATCAATCTGCAGTGCTTTAACAAGGCCCTCTCTCTTACCCAGAACTCTGTGGACATTGTTGCTATGGCTATGGCTGCTCCAAGCCAGTAATTTGTGGAACACATGGTTTCTAATTTTTCCTCACAATGAAAAGTGGGGTTTGTTTTCATCTGTTTTTGTATCTTGAATGGAATCAAACAATTACTACAGTGTGATTCAAATGCTGACAAAAGTGAAGTAAGAATTAGGATTGATGACTTTTTGATTTGATTTCTTTTCTGCTTTGTAAACAAACCAAAGGCAGGATGTGTGTTTTCTGCTGCTGTATGGCATGACTCCACTAGACCTCCATGCAGAGGAAAGGACGCATATACATCATCCCCACTCACTAAGGCCATAATCAGAAACATGCACCCAATTGGAGCAGTTTAGTTTAATAATATTACAATGGAGAAAGACCATAAATCATCTCCTTGAAATGGTAGCAAGACACTCCAGACACACACGCACACACACAACGGCACACACACACACACAACCACACACACACTCCTTCAGGTCTCAAACCTCTGGTGATTTACACTGAAAGATTGCCCTCAAACTCACTCAACACTTATTCCATCATTTGAGTACAATTCTTCCTTTGTCGATAAAGAACCAAATGCCTGAATGAGTTTTTGCAAATTCGTTGATGACGATTAGGTCGATATTAATGCAGTACCAGTTCTTGGCAAATAGTCAAAATATAGCCAAACATCACAAAATGAAGGGATTTCAATGAAGTGAATCAAATATAAATAGAATGCAAACATACTCTGGCATCCTCCCATATGTGTCCACAGTCCAGTGGAATCAGCTTGCCTTTAGTTTTGTTTGTCTGCTTTCAGCATCACTGCATGACAAACTGTTATTGGCACAGCAATAACAAGGCCTTGGGGCAGTCTATGCTTGAGCCATATGTTTGGACAAGGAGACACTTGGGCTTTGAAAAATACTGTTAACGGCAGCATGAGCCCTAATCTGATTTAAAAAGAGCTGTATACACACATGATGTTCTGGGCAAAGTGACATTTTCTCCTCTGGGATGTAAATGTAGGAGTTGTTTTTATTCAAAATCAACCAGCATTTAAAAAGAAAATGAACAACAAGTTTATTTTACATATTGATTTTGGTGTTTTGCATCATCTTGCAATATATTTGTATTTAAGGTAATTAAAACTGTAATAATGCACTGGATATTTATTTCATTAAATTAGAATTAAATAGTCCATATTTAATAGAAATTTCAATTACTAATTTCAGTATTTTTTACATTATTACAAATTTAAAACTTTATTTTAAACCTTTGCCTACATTTGACTCAGTTTGCCTCTTAGGGGCTTAACAATCTGTACATATCTGTCCTTAACCCTCGAAAAATCAACAGGGGAAATAACAGTGTTGAGTCAAATTCCTTTTGTTTTGGGTGCATTTATCCTACTTTTAAGAGTTTTATTTGCATGTATACAGATAGATAATAATAGATGGCACCTTGGAGAACAGTGCTCTTCATCTCACATCAGTGATGGCTCTAAGAGGCTGGTTGCAGCCATCACATAATTTTTTTTTCAGGAATAGCCATATCAAAGCATATGATAAGACCAAGTATGCACAAATGAGGAATGGATTAGAAAACAAGTTAATGAAGTAGATAATGTAAGTCGACATCTGATGAATGGAACAGCTGTCTTTGATCACTGGCACCGCCGTTATCTGGTCATTATTTATTCTTCGAGCTAGAGTGCAGACAGAGAGCAGAGAGGAGGAGAGGGAGAACAGATGAAGATGTACAGAGAGACAGAATCTGCTTTAATTAGTGTGAACAAAGGCGCTGGGCAACTGTGAGGGAACATCGCAGTGGCACCGCTCCTGAGGAAGGATGTATGAGGAGAGGATAAAGATAAAGAAAAAGAAGGACAGTGAGGAGGTGCGGGTCAGGATAGGTAGGGATCCTATAATTAACCAGGAGCAGAGGAGAACTGTGCTGTCTGGGAATCCGGAGCTCTTCCAAAAGGGGAAGGGGAGGGAGGCCACCTATTCACATCTGTCTTTTCTCATACTCGTATCTTTGCTGCCGTAGGAGGAAGGAACACAGCCGCTCAACTTGTCTGCTCGGCCAAAGACGACAGAACTGGTGAAATCCCCCTCATCCCCGACACAAAACCTGTTCTCTGGCAGCAAAAACAGCGCCAACAGTTTCATGGGCAAGGGAGGCATCACCAACCCACTCGGCGGAGGCCTGGGACGGGGCTCATCTCTGGGTAAGACCTCAGAGTGCCTCCTCTACGCAAACACACACCACACACACACAGATCTGCTCAGTTCAAACACACAATTACAGTACACACTCACAGCTGGGAAAACCACTTTGCAAGGTCTCAGTCCTGTTTTTTCATTTTAGAAATAAATGCCACTCTCAAGATGTTGTGTGAAGTCGTTTTTTTATAGCGAGCTAATTTTGATGTCCAAACTCTAATGTGTGTGTTTGTGTGTGTAGATATTCTGTCCAGCCTAAACTCTACTGCGCTGTTCGGGGACCAGGACACGGTGATGAAGGCCATCCAGGAGGCTCGGAAAATGAGGGAGCAGATCCAGAGGGAACAGCTGCAACATCACCAGCAGGGCATGGAGGCGAAGCTGTCCGCCCTCAGTTCAGTGGGCCTCAACAACTGCAGAGTCGACAAGGTTAGGACTCCTATCATATAGCTCTTTCATTCCCGATTCTAGCCCGTTCCATTGCAAGCGTTTTCCGTAATGCAAAAGACAAGCAGCTGACCACCAGGAGTGCTCAGCTCTCCCTGCAACTACTGAAACTATTAAAGAAAGTGGAACATGGTGATTTAACACAGCAGTCATTCTTTAAGACTAATATTTTTCTTTAATCCTTGTCCAGGGTGGTCATATTGATACGAGCTGGCATAGTTCAGTGTGTACGTATCTGTTTAATTAGTATGAATATGTTTGTGTGTGCGTGTTTAGAAGGCCTGGCGTTGTTGATGTTGGTGTGAGGGCCGTGACAGGCCATGGCAGTGCCCGGTGCGGGTTAAGAAGACTCTGAAGTCTCTGCCCAATTAAAGCAGACTTGCAGCCCTCTTCGTCCCCTGACACGGGATGGGGCTGCTTTGTACCAGGAGCACACACTCCCAGGGATTCCCTTTAAAAATATCTTCAATCGATGAGTCAATCAAGGAGAGAAAAAAGCTGTCCTCCTCTCTTCAGCTTGATGCCATGTTGCCAGTTGGCTGTGAGGAGCAGGCAGGAACTGGGAGCGATGCTCATTAATATTTCAGCACCTTACACTTTCAACCAACAGCCTCAACTAGGTCAATGTATATGTAAAAAAGTCAATGAATATCTATTTTGACTTCCCCCTAATTTGGTGTTTGGAAGAGATCACTGTCTATGCAGGTGGCAATCAACTATGCTCTCACTGAAGTGAAGCACATAAATTAGTGGGGCCCACAGAGAGGACAGAGATGGAGCCTCCCCCTGCACTTAGCCCTTACTAACCAGCACAGAAATAATCTTTACAATAATTACATGTCACATATTGCTTGAATTGAAACAAGCCACATCACCAAACACAAAACTCAATTTAAGTTATTCTCCTCTTGTTTTTTCATCTTTACATGTTCACTGAAAACTTTACAATAAGTGTTTGAACGTAGAATCTTCAATCTAACTCATGGAACCTGTGCTGCTGCCTCCCAACTAAGGTGTATGTGTGGCTGCAAAAATCTATTTACAACAGGAAACATGCCTACGGCTACATTGTTCTTCGAGGTAGAGCTTATGCACTGTTTTAATCCCTGCTTTTTTGGGGGATTTACTTTAGTTTCCTCAGAATTTTGGACTTATGCGTTCAACCTGTCTTGAAGTAGAGAAGATGGATGCTTTTTAAAGGGATGTTCTGCTTGAGATAGTCAGTCACTCAACACCTGTAATCTACCTTTTGTCTGTAAGAAAGGGTAGAACAACAGGAAGAGAATGAATGAGTGTGTGTTTGTGTGTGTGTATTGGGGTGGGGGGGTAGGTATATGTGAAGTGAAATGTAATACTATTCAAGAATTAAGTGTACTGGTAGGATGAAATTGACAACAAAAAAACTGCAATCATTGCAGAGCCTGAGCGATATATGAGGTACAAATCGGCCAATATGAGACATAGACATATATCTATATCGGCATTAATGTTTGCTGATATTCACAGAATAAACAATGCAGGAATGATTACGATTTTACGCACATTGATATTTAGAGGTAACATAAATAGAATATAAGCAAAGTGGAATAATAACTTCAAGCTACAGAGGATGATGCAATAACACAGACTGAGAAAACAACAGGATGATGAAATAAAAGAAGCGGATGCACCGACCTGACACTTGCGGCCCCACAGATAGTACAGAGCGGCCGTGAGGGAGCAGATGACCACGGTGGAAGGTCTGGAGACACACTCCCAGTACAGTCTCCACATTTCCAAGTGTGACAACAACATGGTGACGACCGGCTCGGATCTGTCTGCGCGAGGACTTGAGACAAACACAACCTGTCTTCTTCATCACCGGCAGCAGATCTGCAAAGATGTCCCGCGGCTCTCCCTCCCCCAGTGACGGATGAAGAGCCGGTGAGGGCCTCCTCTCGGCGGTGTTTGTCCCCCGGCAGTAGGCGGTCCTCGGGCGGACACTGTTCCTGCTTCCTCCCGTGACCGCAGATCGTCTGTTCGGACCTTGGACCAATGACAAATGCCCTGTTCCGCCCCCTCGACTCCCCCTCACAGGGGGACTACAAACATGGAGGTCACCAAACCCGCATGCGCCCCTCTTCTTCTTTTTCATCCTCTTTATTTTTGGGAGCATTAGCGCTGCTCCTCCTCTTGTGTTTAATTTGGGTATTGCAGAAAGAGCATATTCAATGTGTACATGCGGGATTTACANACACATTTCACAAACTCAGAGGTGACCTCCTCAAAAGACTGGTCCACAAAGTAAAGATATTCACTTTACTCTATTAATTATCAAAATAGTTGGGGATGGATTTAGTAGAAGATTACTGACCGATGATTACTAATTGATAAATCACGAGGTTTGCAGCCCTACTCCATGATATCATCACCGTCCCTCACAAGTCGGTTGGGCTCCAAATCCTTGCATTGTTTACTCAAATACAAACTAGATGTGGGTTTATTGTAAAAACTTACAAATATCAATAATTGAAAGCATCATCTCAGGTAATACATCTCTGTTTTCAATCATCGTTGTATGACACCTGAACCGAGCTTGTGCTTGATACGCCAGCTCATGAAAATCACAGTGACATATTGTCACCTCTAGTTTCTGTGACACCGGCTCTATTAGGATGGCGTGAAATTAGAGGCACGCTTTATCAAGTCAGCTAAAAGAATTGCCCCATCATCTTCATCCTTTTGCTGCAATAAAGAACAGCAGGCTGTAATTCAGCGGCGAAATGGGAGCAGAAAAGGAGAGAGAGTCTTTTGCTGATACAAGCCAACAGACTAGAAAGGTTTGAACGCCCAGATAAAAGCTTTCACTTTGGTCAGTTTCAGAATATTAATATTTCAAGAAGGTGCCTCACCTGACATAAATATGGTGTGGTCTTTAATAGCTCCCCTCCCAGTCTGTTGTTTGGAAGTTTATCATAGTGAGAGCTTACATGAAGAAGATTCTGGAGAGGTAACATAAATGGGATTAAGGAGAGGTTAAGATCATCCAGGTTGGCTGTTAGAGGGGGATATTAAATATTGATTTATCCCACTGTAATGACCGGGCAGAGGAGTGGGTCTAAGTGCTGCTTACAGATGGATCAATTCATCTTTTCATACAAAGTGTGTCTGAACAGTACAATGCATTCCTCTCTAACCGTTATCACCACGGCTCTAGTTCTCTCCCTTTCTCTCTTCCTCTCTCTCCCTCCCTGGCCATTGACCTAGGAGAACATGGTGTAGATCAGACTCTCTGTTCAACACTACAAGCCTTTAACCTGAGGACATGTAAATTATTCATGCTTTACAGGAGCAGATTTTCTTGCTTGTCTTTTTATTTGTCTGTTTTTACTATATCCCCTTCAGTACAATAAAACCTTTTACAACCCTTCTGCAATTTACCTTTTTGAAATATTTATCTAGAGATATTATTGTCTGGAGATGGCAATTACTTTGTTCCATTATTTACCATCTCCTCCTTACCCGATGGAAGCTTTTACCTTGGATGCACCAGTACGCCTACAGTCAAATACAGTACATCTTAATCCATTTGCAACCATTTGAATTGTTTCCCTCTATTATGCACTGTAGCTATAAGCGGCCGGGCTGTTTTTCAGGGTCATGGGTGAGGGTAGATTCCAAAAAGTTGTCCCATGTGGCCCTCATTGTACACAAACAAAAACAAGCCCATACAGTTTAAATAATTCAGTGATGCTTATTTGACAATTAATGTAACTGGTCCAATTATGGAAAAGAGAACAACAAAAGCCAAAGTCTAAAGTTTACTGATGTATTGTATCACTAAAAACTAGATTAGTCAGTGAAATATAGTGATAATAAGATGTTTAACCTCAGCAACTGTTTTCTCTCCAGTAAAAGAAAACAAATCCCAATTGACTTCATTTCCACATATCTAGATGCAAGCCTTCATCTGAGTCGTGCAAACACTCCGACCAGTCCCTGAGTGAAGGGACTGTTTACAAAAAGCCAAGCAGAGATGATACAAAGCCACTGACCAAACAGAGAAGAAGAGGTCACATTTATCACATTTTGAAAAATGACAGATTACTCATGTGGAGCCAATCTGCACTATATTAGCCCCGGGGCAATGGACAACCCTTGTTGTTGAACCCTGTAGAGTCAAGTATGACTGATCTCTACACTGGCGCATCTATTTCCCTCGCTTTACTTCAGGGAGACGTTGCATATGTGATGTACTGGAGGTGGTGTTAGATAAAATATATTCCTCTGCTGACATGTCCCTAACTAGAATCAAAAGGTGAAAGGCCAGTGTATTAACCTATTGAACTGCCCTTTTCTGCCCTGCAGCACCTCCTCTCCTCTGTATTGATGAGTGCAATTGTCCATTTCTCAGATCCCCAAAGCTCAGCCTGTAAATATTCAAATGTAGCTTACACTGGTGCTCCACAAAATCCAGACTCCTAACCTATTGGTTATAGTGGTTATACTGCTCGCTCCTGCATACAGTATGTGTGAGAGTGTGTATGTACGTGCAAACGTGTCCACGAATGCACGTGAGTGTGTGTCTGTGCGTGTGTGTGTGTAATGCCAGGGCCCCATTCAGGCAAAGCCCTCACAAAGACTTTGAATATAATCTTGTCTGGTCCGCAGCCCTGGAAGCAATTTTCTGCTCCTTTTCGACTGCTGTCTTGGAAATTGCAAACCAAGGCGTTTTGGCTGCAATGTAAATCCTTGGCATACAAGGGTTTGCCCATCCAAATTAGATTATGCTCAGCTCCCAGACACTGGCTGTAGCCAGCGAGTGCTATTGTGAAGATTGCTTACATTAATGCTTTGTCCAATTGTTAACATTTGCCAAAAAAATAAAAAATAATGTATGACTCTGTATAATATGTGCCTGCAAGGGTGTGTGTTCCTGTGGGCTCCTGTTCCAGGTCAGGTCTTTTGCTCTTCCTCAGAAAGACATCAAGGCAGCATCTTGG